CGGTGGAGGGCGAATTGTGGAATGGCAATGAAGACAGCAGAGGTCCACGACAAAATTGTAGCAATGCTGTTGAGGAAGAGTGAGGCCCGAACGTGTATGTCTGTTATCCACTGAAAGTGGCCTCCAAGTTTTCGGGATATCAGGGACCTCTATAAACTTGTTGCGCTCGGTCCAATGTGACGCTTGGTGATGACTTTCTGAGCCAGTATCAGCTTAAGGCAAACCTGCCATCCGTTATTTTTGCTTGTTTTCCGCCGTTGCAGACCATCAATTCCAGATGACCTTACCATAGATGAGGCGCGTTGAGGTCAGGCACATGCTGTTCGGATGCTGGACGTACAGTACCAGGTTACAGATACAGTACTTGGCAGATTGGCAAGCGACATATTTACTATAATACGTCGGCGAGAGATCAGGATCATTGATGACAACGGGGGCGTTGGCGCTGCTGCTTGGTCACATCAGCTGTCACGGAAAGAGCTCTGTTCGTTGGAGCCCCGACTAGCTTTCGATACGTTTTTGTTCTAATAGCTGACGCCAGTTCTGTCATGCGACCTGGAATGGGAAGACCGTGCCATGTACTTGCTCTTCCAAACGTGTCGATTGGTCTCCTCAAGGTCAGGCGTAGCTGTTGACGCAAAATGCACATGCTTCCCATCGATAGGATGCCAAGTCTAATCGACCAATTCGGACATGGCTTATTACATCATCATGCCGCGAGCAAAGCCGTGTGTACGAGGCATATCGACTCCAACACGGATTGCTGGTATCATTCCAGTGTTGCTGCTTTCAACTGAGTCCGACAGCGAAAGGCAAGCTTAGACGCCTCGAGCGAGGTCAGGCGCACTGGACAAATCCTCACAGCAAACAACCTGTACGTAATACTGTTAAAAATTTAAGAAAATCAAACAGCGTGATACACATACATGTACCGGTACAGACGTAAGCGTAGATATACTGTACCCCTTTATGACGAATCCCATAGATTGAAGGTACATTTGACAGATCACTAGATACATGTATCTGTGCTTTTCCTATAAAAATCTATCAGATTGCCCCCTACGCTTATTGAGGGACTTCTGTATCGGTTTACATTAAATGTAGATGTGCAGCAACTGCTCAATGCAACAAAGTGTTGACGCTTTACGGTCAGACACCGCATGAATCCCACATGTAACACGGAAAGCGCGTAGCACATCCAGAACGCAAGATGTTGCTGGGCCATAAGAATTTGCATTCGCCATGAAGCAGGCTACTGGATAATGGGTAAAGTTATCAATGAAGCGCTTCACATGAAGAATTTGATACACGTATTGTTTCCACCTCTTTTCAACCTTGTTAATAGTAGATAGGAAATCGCTGGTGCTTGTCTCAGCGCGTTGGCTGCTTCGTCTTCGAGCTCTATGTGTAATTCGAAGGTTAAAACGAAAACCGTTTTAGACCTCGAGAATCGCAGAGAGAGTCGTGGCAGTATCGATGAATCTTACTGAGCCCTCAATTGACGTCAATCGGTACAGCAAAGATCGCGAGATCCTGCCAGCACGTACGACTACCGTGGCGCTTCACCGCAGCATCTGAATTATCGACAAACCGATACTTATGCAGTAAAATCTGTAATTACCTCTCAGAAAATATATTTAACCTCCTATATTGTATAGCGAAAGGTCACCCTCAACACGACAGGAGTCGCGCCACGCGGTTGCTTAGGTACGACACAGATTCGCGCCACGGTACGCTGTACGATTCCTCGGTGCTGTAGTGCATCTCCACATCCTTCTCGAATTGTACCAGCGAGAAGATGGCCTCCACATCCAAGCCTTGTCCGTGCACGAACGCCTCCTTCAGCTTGAGTACGCCGCTCCAGTGATTCTCCACACCCGCCGCCTCACATATGCGCACGTAGAAACGTCGCTCCCCCCAGTCCAAGCTGCCGTCGATGACAAGCGACACGATGAGCAGGAAAAAGAGGTTGCGAAGGTGGTACGACGAGAGCAAGAGCAACGATGACGCTGAAGCAGTTGGTGAGACGGATGGTGCCGCTGGATTGCTGTTGCCTAATAAACGAAGGTCGGTAATTAAGACGTCGATGTCGTCCAGTACGTGGGCTGGACATCGTTCCGAGGACTCTTGCAGACACGTGCAGCCGTCGTCGCTTACGGGCCACGCGTCTGCGTTGATCCAACGGTGTCGCAAATGTTCTACCATAATCTCCATGTTCGGGTGTACCATCCGCTTACACACGAGACAGCATCCCATGATACGCATGTAGTCGACTCGCTGAGCTGGTTTGAAGCACGCGTCCTCCAACAGAAAGCTCTCGAGGGCCTCGATCGCGCATGGTGGTCCAACGATATTAATTCGGCAGTTCCGCAGCACACGTCGTATTGTCCAGGCATTTAAGAGACCTTGGATCGGAAGTACAGTAGCGTTCAGCGCGGAGCGTGCGGCAGCGCGCCACAGAACACGCTTAATAAAGAGCTTGAATAGG